GAGATAAAAAGAAACCCTTTGCAGGAACAACCTACCAGTCTTGGCGGACGTCAAGAATTGCCGAAACATACAATTAGCAACAATAATTTCCTAAAATTTACCATTTTTTTAATTGGAGAAAAAAATGGTTTCAGTGACAAAAATTGCTAAAAATCATCGAAAACACTAAATCAACTTTTCTTTTTATAGAAATAAACAAGGCAAAGGCAACATTTTACAACGTACTAAAAACAAAAACAAAACAAAACAAAAAAACACGCTTAGTTTGGACGCGTTTCTAGGTTTCGGTTTTTTATCGGAGCGCATATTTGCGCCCGCGGTCCTGCTCCCCGGTGGTCGCGGCGCGAAGCTACCCCCTCGCATCTCTCGCAGCATGGAGGGAAGTAGGGCGTACGTGTGTTGGAGCGTCTCAGTCACTGGGGAGCAGGACCGCGGGCGCAGAGATGCGCTCCGATCAGAAACCGAAACCTAGAAACACGTCCAAACGGAGAGTTTTTACGGTACGCCGTATAATGTTGCCCTTCTAAAACAAGTTGATTTAGTGGTTTTCGATGACGCTTAGCAAGCTCCTAATTCTAACCATATGTATACTTCTACTAATTAAAAGGAATGAGTAATTTTTAGTTAATTATCTGGCTAATTTGTATGTTTTTGGAATCATTGAACCGCCAAGGCTGGTAGTTTGTTCGCGCAATGAGTTTCTTTTGATAGTGACTATTTCAACGTCCACAGTCAAAATATTTATACAACTATTTTAACATCTGTGACGTCACTTCCATAAAATGTAAAAATAGTGACTTTGTTGTTTCAACGTCCCCCCGTCCCCCGTCAAATGCAGCCGTCGCAGTGGTAACCATTGCGTTCTGTACAGTGCCTGATGGTGTTGTTGCTGTTGCGTTGACGTGTTGACGGAGTCATGTGTCGCTGTGTTCTATGCCTGAGACGTTTCGGTCCTACTTGGCACTAGAAATGTCTTATTATGCGTGTGTGTGCACGACTGGCTCGACAGTTAATCCTTTCAGACGTGACACGCCGGTGGCGTTGTTCTGAGCTCTCGCTGGTCGTTTCGGCACGCGCCTCACTTAAAATATTGAATCCACAGCAAAGACGAGCTGAATATCCTTCTAGTGCACGTAACAAATGTAAGTGTGTACAGTGGGTAACACTGAGAGTTCGGCACACTTTTTGTGACTCCACGCCTCCAGCAGCGTGCGAGCGCTTCGTCGTATGGTTGCAGTCTCGCTTTTGATCTGGCTCCCGCCCTGTTTTTAGCCGGGTTTCCTGAGTTTTTTGTTCAGTTTAGATTTAACTTTTGGTTCGTGTATAACGAGCGGGTGAACTACGAAAAGATCGGGATATTAACTAGATTGTTGTGACTGCAAACATTGTCTTCTTGATGTTTCTTGACCGATGCGAACGAACAACAAAGATTTTGACGCGTACAACCACGGCGCAGTCTGCGCCGTGGTTGTACGAGATACACGAATTTCTGTGGCAGCAAATGTCGTCCAATCAACTGCAGATTTGATGACACGAGATTCAGCTCCTGTCTTTACGAAAGGCGTGAAATAAATCACGCAAAGCAGCGGCGTCGAATTCTGTAATGTTTAGCACACCAGAGCCTTGATGCGCAGCGCAAATACGTCTGCTACTTTTGAAAGGGTGTGGGTTGTGTGCAGTACTACATTGAGATCCTTTTTTTTTTAATTTCTTAATGTTTAAAAGGTAAAAAATTCAGTCGACTTCACGTATTCAGAAAGTGTCATCACGGACGTGAAAATAATACTTATACTTAAAATTATTTTGAACGTGAACGTCGAAATAGACACTGCCTTTCCTTTTATCTCGAACAGCATATTTTTAGGGATTTTTGAAATCTTTCGTAAAAACACTTTATATATATATATATTTTTTTCTTTACTAGCCGAAAAAAACGTGAATAACAGTGTCCTGTGAGAATTAGGACGATTATAGTTATCAACAAATTCAGAACTGCGTGTCGCAGGAACGCCCGGCCCGGCCTCCAGCAGGCGCTGAATGCCGTACTTTGGCTGCGCGCGTGCGCTCGAGGTGCCTAGACGCCGTAGCGTTGTGCAAGGTAAGTTCCCGCCGGAGACGGAACAACTGAAGCCCCTCCCTGCAGTTCCCATCTTGTCAGTGACTATAGTATGTAACATGTACGGTCTGAATTTCAGAAATTGTGAACCATTGCTTTGAACTCTCCCCGGTTTTGGTGTTGTTTGCGTACGTTTTACAGTACATTTTAATTTATTTTACGCGTATTCTGTATACCACTGTAGTCTAAGGAGTGGTATGGCCTCGTAAGGTATTTATTACCTTTAGCTATATCCCCCAAGACATTGTATTGTTGCCTCGAATAAGTTACCATGTATGTACAGGATGTAAAAAAAAAAAAAAAAAAAAAAATACAGTTTTTTTGTTTTTTTTTTTAGCCGCAAAAATAAACTAGGCATCGCCGAACGCTCATTGTCCGTCCGAAGATAACGCTAGAGGTCACAACCAGATCCCTAAGTTACAGCCCGATCGGACGCCTTATTCAAAAGTTATAAGTGATTTTCTGAAAATTTCAGTGGAAAAATGGCGGCCGACGGAGTTTTCGAATACATGGGGCTCTATGACACCAGAAACCGAAAACGGGCAAAAATGGGCTCCATTTTCCCATTGAAATTTTCAGAAAATCACTTATAACTTTTGAATAAGGTATGGGATCGGGCTGAAACTTTGGGATCTGGTTGTGACCTCTAGCACTACCTTTGGGCGAAGAATCAGCGTTCGGCGTTGCCTAGTTGATTTCTGCGGTGAAAAGAAACCTGTAATTTTTTTTTTTTGTGACACCCAGTATATATATTGGTAACTGTCAACATCCGTTTGCTCTGCTGACGGCTAGTTCCTGGTTAACTCGGTTGGTAGAGCGCTCCGCTTGTCTTTGAGAGGTCCCGGGGTTCGATTCCCTGACCGCGATGGAAGAAGAAAGGGGCGTCCGAACAAGGCCAGCCAAGGCGGCTGGCCTTGTTCACTCGGTCTTCGTGCATCTCCCGGGCAGGGGCACTGTCGGTTTAGAAGCCTTCGCGCAGGCATGGTCACGTACCGCGCGGCCCCGAAGACGTGTGCGCGAATCAGGGCGGTTCCTCGAGCCCCAGATCATATTGTGCATATCACGACGTTTGCCAGAAGTACGAGCAAACCTTCAACGCGCTTGTTCCATTGCGATGCGGCACACCAGTCGCCTAGAGGGCGCGAGATACGCTCCATCTCAAGTAAAATTAAAACTATTCTTGCGTACATCTTCACCTTGCGGAGTTACCGATTCATGAAGATACACTTTGAAGGCTACGCACAAGCATAGAGGAAAATAAGCGACACAAGTACATATACTTGCATTGCGCAACGCCTCTGAGCCATAATCGTCCGTCTCAATGTAATTAGAAGAGGAGCTCTCAATCTCTTTTTCACGACGTTCATTGGCGTAATCCCGGAGATTCCGTTGTTGACGTGTAGTCCATGGGGATTCCCCCTTTTTAACCATAGCCGAATGCGGCTCATGGGTTGGACACGTTCTCTGCGTGAGCTTTTGACTTGGGCCTCGTCCTTGACCGCGGACATCCGGGTTGTCACTAGTGTTCATTCAACGTGTCCGGGGTACAGCTCGTGCCCTGTGTGTTGCCACTCCCGACGCGCGACTGCGAATAGAGATCACGTGGTCGTTTGTCCTAGCAGTAAGATTAAGGGGGAAACGCCACTCCGTGCTTTCGTTTTGTCTGCGACTCTTACATTGCGGGAAGAAAGAACCTAATGCGCGTGTCGTTAATAACAATATATGTAAAAATATATCTTTATTGCGCACACACACACAAAAAAACAACATAATTACAAACAGGTCCGCAAAAGCACGAGAGTGCTTGTAGGTTATGAATGTTTTAGAACATTCCTTTTTAGCAGTATTTAGCAAAATGTAAAAATTATTTAATGATGCCTGGTTTGACGAATGTTAGCGGTTATCATGGAGAAACCGCCGTGTGAGATTTCAGCTGCACGTCGAAAGATGCGTCCTTAGGCCTTCGCTTGGGCGTGCCAAATGCCCTTCGTTTAATCGACACGTGAGCCCGATTTTTGTTTTATGACAAATTGGTTAGAGAGCTTTAGTAGATCGTTTCGATACTTCCGATACCCCCAACAACGATACCGTATCATATCGTTATTGGGGCTCGATAACGATATGATGCAGGCGCAAAGAGAAAATGAACACAAGAAATTAATCGCTAGTTTGATTCTTTCTTCGTGTGATATATATCACAAAGACGAAGAAAATTGATGGTTAGATAAACACGGAGCTGCCCAGTATGTATGTTTGAAACCTTGGTCCATACCCGACAGAAACACTGCCACCATTAGGTAAAAGCAAAATCGCCAAGGTCACAGCCTCGCCTCGCAGACATGCCCTTACCCCCAATCATTACAGGTACGCTAAATTAAGTTTCAAACGCCATAAGTGACGCCTCGCGGTACCTGGCACAAGGAGTGTCCATAACTCCCGCGGAGAACCGGTCTCGAAGGTCTCAGTACGAGCGCACTAAAACATCATTCTCGAACTCTCGCTTCAAGATCGTCTTCATGGAGTACCCGTCGCTGAGGGGGCAGGACTTGAGATGGTAATCGCCGTTCCTGTTTCAGCGTTTTAGTGCCGCCGCATCTTGATCTTGCTGCATTTCCGTATTCGTCTCGTTTGACAGTGTACGCACGGACGGGCGGTTTTCGCAATTCGACGTGTTCCGAAACGTTTGAAGCTGCCTCAAGGTCACACACGCCACCCCGATATCAGGAGTCAAGGTGTGTGTGTCAGCTATAACGACTGCCTTAATTAAATAGAAAAAAAAAATCTCCTTTGCGTCTTTGTGCATAAGAAATCAAGGACTACTTTCCTGTATATCTTTTTTTGTTTGTTCTGAGAAAAGTTCTAAAAGAAAGAGACAAACCAATCGTGTGCATTACCCCAAGCAAGGTACTAGACGTGGTGGCATTTACGCCGCCGGCTCGGCGTGCACACGTTTATTGCAACATAAAAAAAAGACAAGATTTCACGTGAAATAAAGAATGATCCTTTTTCTTTTTCCTATTTTTTTGTGCAATCGATGTTTCTTCGAGAGAATACAAATTAACCGCCACCACCACCTTCGCTCGACAAGCTCTTCCCGACAGACGAATTAAGAAGAATGAGCAAATGAAAAAGCGATTGCAGCGTCCAGATGAGTTCGTCCGTCTTTCATGCGACCCCGACTTGTTTCGTGAGATGTTCGCAGGTTGCTTCTCTAGGCGGTTTCAGGTTGGCGGCACTGTCTGTTTGCGTTTGCGAGGGTCGACTCCATGCAGGGCGCCGGAAGTAGGTGCCCAAGCGGTTCCGGTGGGGACTGCGTTCACCGGTACCTTCGGGAGTTGCCCGTGAGCTGCTGCTTGTGCAGCGACGAGATACTTGGCAGTCCCAGTTGCCTACGCCGGTGGACGCAGAAAGTCAAACTTGCATCGATGAACAATAAGACCGGAATACTAGGGTTGTTAATCTGTTTCGTTTGTTTTTTTAGGTTGAAACCGGTTGAAATAACAACCAAGAAGTGCCCTCTTATCCACGACCTACAAGGGTCTACATGGGAACGTATACAATATCATCCCCCCTTTTAACAAAAAAAGAATAAAAAAAAAAAGAGGTATAGGAATACAGGGAGCACTAGATGCGTATTTTTGCAGAGATAACCACGATAACGGATAATCAGCACGCGCGATGTTAGGAAGCAGTATCCTTTAGGGGCACACACCTTTCTAAGGCTCTTGTAAAATGAAAATATAATAGAGTCGCCACATCACTTTAGTTAAAAGGGCCAGGGAGCGATATTCAGTTCGATTCTTACGCAGTTTGCACGCACATACCGACTCAAGTGGGACACAAGTGTGCATAGTGCTCAAACTCGATGTTGCCACTAAACCAGATGCTTTATCGTGGCGTACTTTCACGGATGAAATCCTCGTCATTTATTTAATTCTCCTCTTACGCCGTATTTTCACCAGCACGCTCCATTTCCACGAGCTGTCTATTCTTTTCAATCTGTTTCGCCTAGCGTGCTGACGTAGTCGTGTGGAGCGCAGCATGGTTGTGATAGTCGAATAGGGTTCGTAGATTAGACGCGAGCACTGCGTGAGCATTCGGCTTGGGCCCGGTTACAACCAATGCCTCGACGGACGTTCGGGTTGTGACTCGTATCCAATCGCTGCAGTGGCGAGAATAGCCAAACGCTAACAATGTCCGGAACACAACACATTTCCCAGTGCGTGGATCGTACATGATCACGTGGGCGCCTGTCCTGGCTGCGAGTTGAGGCGTTGAGATGAACGCGTGCTTGCCCTTCTTTGGTGTTTTAAACGAAGCGGGGCATCTAGTTGCCACCATGTGTCTGCTCGTGATGACAAGCACGTGCAATTGCAAGCCTACCAAAGCTACTTTCACGCACATGCGGCACGTGCTAGCACGCACGGGGCACCAGCCGACAACATAGTTTTGGTAGTTGCCCTTGCTACGCGAGAGCACACTGTAGCGACGAGAGTTCGTTCAGCCGAGCTGCGTCCTTGAGCAAGGAGCTCACGCTTCGAGCGTGGGAGGTAAGAATTCAATGCTCACCATTTACCATAAGTTTTTCCTTTGGCCGCGTATGAAAAAAACAAAGCAAAAAGCAAATGTGGGTGGTTTACGTGCAAAATAATCGAAGAGTACACCTGACACCCTCGCGAAGGATTGATGATTATTTTGGACTCGTATTCGATAACCTGCAAATGATGTCTCAATTACACCCTGCTACACACGGCGATGAGAATGCTAGATTGTCGGTACCTCGGTCGTAAATCTGCCCTGCACGTGCTGATAACAAGTTTGCACGGACTTTATGGTCTGATCACCAGCAGCGAGCCGGATTGACAACACGCGCTTGCGATTACTTCGAACGGATTTGATTTCGCCTTCTGTAAGTCCGAAATGAGATGTCTTGACTTTGCCTATCTGTGACAAAATAACCGTCAATTATAGTGGGCTTGTGTGGTGAAGTTTGTTTTACTTTCCGCAAACTTAGTGGCCAAGCTAAGAGCTGGAATGGGGGCCCACATGGAAGCCATTCATATATCCTCTTCCCGAAGACAACACAATGACATTCAGAGAATGTCCTAAGAGCATCCCGGTGTGGTCTTTACACTTCTCTGCAAAATATCGATTCGTCATTTCCCAGTACTTGCTGTGGGAGGGGAACTTTTTAGAACGCCTGTAGGGGTAACCCAATGATATCTAACGATGTCACTGCGTTGGTTCTAGTTGTGCATAAACAGACAGCTTCGATTAGTTTAAAAATAAATCTAAAATGTTTGTTCTTAAGGATAGGGAGATCGGTGGCCGAGTAGGCAAGCTAACGTGCCTTAGCTTGGAGCGTGGAGCAAAAGCTTGCGCTGGAGAACCTCCTGGGTTCGATCCCCACCCCCTGCCCGTTTTAATCTGGATGAGTTTCGTACCGGTACGTATTCTTGTAATCACTGTTACGTGTTGCACGTTAAAGACCCCAGCTTAGCGGTAGTACTGCACTAACTAAATTTGTCATCTACAGCTGAGATACAGGTCACCCGTTGAGGTGTACCAACTTCAAAGCTGTCCAAACATACAACATTTTTTTTTTTGGGGGGGGGGGGGGGGGGGGCGGAGGGGGGCAGGAGGCGACGACGACGTTTTCTTACCGCACAAAAGCAACGTTTCATGGTTGGTTAAGAGTATTGTGATTCGAATTATTGAAGGCATCCTGAAGTCTGTGTGTGTGTTGTCAGGCCAGGGAAGCTTTGGGTCATGTGTAATGGACTGAGCTATGTAATCACACATGGTAAATTTAGCAGGCCACTTTTTGTTCTTATCAAGAGAGAAAGAAATGCAGTATGTCGAGAAAGTGCACGTGACGTCTGCATACAAATTGCCTTGCACCCGCGCAAGAAGGACAACACAAACTACTTCGAGAAACGAAGGTGTACCCAGGTTTATCTACCGAACCATGCACATTAAACTCAAATGGGTGAAAGGAGAAAGAAAAAAAAAAGGAGAAACATGGATGTCGATTAATCGGCACGCGGGTTTCTCTCACGAATGATTGCACTGCCGCTCTGCGATGATTCTACCTATCAAAGACACGTAGTGTTTTACTGTTTCTCAATCGATGCCAAGAGTCGACAAACTGAATAGTGTTGATATCACTTGACAGCGCGGCAAATGGCCTCTTTCTACATTCTTCACAGACTCTAGGCCGGTGTTTGTGGAATCGGCAATCTTTAAACAAACGGAGACAGACCAGGGACAGAGACCAAGGTAAGATAACTGACTGGCGAAGCTGACATCTGCACCCCACAGTGGGTCAGCCGTGCGCACGCGAAGCACGTGAGAGACAGGAAGAGAGCGAAAAAAGACAAGGATTGAACCAGTTGGCCTTCTCCCTCCGCCCGCGAGTAAAGAAGCGAGCGGAGAAAGCGCATCTTGAAGGCCGACTCTCGCTTTTCCGAAGCATCCGAGCAACAGGCTTTGCGAAAGAGATTGCCGATTAATCGTGCTTTTTTTTTTTTTTTCAAGAGGTAACGCGCGTCTGGCAAACCTTAAGAAAAAGAAAAAGAGTTTAAACAGTTACTGTCTATCTCATCTTGAAGCGCCTGTTTTATTACTGTTCTTAATATTTGCAAGTCCCGCATTGCTTTCGTTTTTACATGACGTGAGTATTACTTGCGTTCAGCAACCGCGAACATTTATTTTTTATAGACAATGCCGTGACAATTTGATCATCTTTTTGTTGTCCCTATGTTTCTTTTCTCCTACTACATACTTATTTAGCATTCTTATTCGTCCAAGGTAGGCAGCCAAGAGTCGGCTTGCTTCGTGCATCTCACACCGTGCACTCAATGAAAAGCGGCAAAGGTCTCGACAAACTCATCGCAGTGCGGGCCACGGGGAGATGATAGACCCCCTGTCGTTCTGATCGTGCGCTTGCCATATTGCAATACATTTCTTCGGGACGATCCCCAGTTAGAGTTGTGTTTATGCAGTAGTGAGCCAGCCAGCCCAGCCCAGCCAACCCCCCCCCCCCCCCCCCCCCCCCCCTTATGCCCACATCACCTCAATATTAAACCAAATGCGACTGTCAGCGTTTGATATTTCATTGACTGGGAATCGGTGGCCGAATGTGTTAGCGTAACGAAGCTAACACATTCGCGATTACACGCGCAAGAGGATACCAACAAAAAAGCGCTTTAAAACCGCTCTTAATCCACCAAAGAAATTCCCCACAGAGCTCGTGCTGCATGATTTATGGATTGAATCTGTATGCTATTCGCCCTGTGGGTGTAATCACTACGGCGTGATGCAAGTTAAACACCTCAAGTTCGCAGTCGTATACTGAACTTGCTAAAATGACTCAAAATGATTCTGTATAGACAACTTTAAACCGGTGTCGCGATGTGTCAGTGGCAGCCCAACCTCTCGCTGTATAAATATTCACGACGTTCAATTTGTTTCTTGATTCTGCTTCGAATTCGTCAACCTAATATCCAGAACTGTTTTAAAAAGAAAATTTGCGACACCGGGAAACATAAAAAGAAAAAAGAAATCGATAGCTCGTTTCAGTGATCTGTTCATAATCGGGCGCTTCATTGTAAGTTGCACCACGAGGAACTGAGAAATAGAAGCACGAGCGTATATTTTCTCAGCACCTGGTCAAACCCGAGACAGCCCTACCTGAAGAAGGCTTCGGGATTGCTGAAACTGTCGAAGCCGGGAATACCCGGAAGGGCCAACTTGCTGGGGTCCGGCAGCAGGCTGCGACTCTCGATGTCTCCCTCCGAGTCGTCGGCAATGAGTCGCCTCTTGCCGTCCTTTCCGATGTGGTACTTGGTGAAGCGGCTGTTCCCCGTCGAGTCCTTGTAGCCGGACCGGCCCATGATGATGCCGTCCGGACCAAAGTGCTCCGAGTGGTAGCTGCTCACGGAGTAAGAGGTCTGCGAGGACACCAGGACACCGCAACAGACCACCGTCCACACCGCGAGCCAGGCCCATGGGATGCACGCCTGCGCCGTTGACGGTCGAGGTTCGTAAAGCCCCAGTCACACTGACCGCACATCATGACACAATGCTGGCTGAAGACACGTGCTCCGAACATGTCTGGATATATTTTTGTACGGCCAATGTGATTGTCTAACAATGAAAAATCACGCCTTAGACAGTACTGCAGACTGTCTTCTTATGATTTCTTAGCAAGAGAACGAAAACTTTAAAATAGAAATAGAAATAAAAAGAAAAAAAGGTTCTCCGGAACGAACAACACGATACTCGCGACCGCTCGCATTCGGTCACCACTTACTCTTCTAGCCATGGTTAAGAAGCCGTTTGGACGTCTTCCGTTCCGTTTGCACACGGGGTACAAAACACACTCAGTCGGCTTTGCGGACGGTCTGACGGGAGTACAATGGTGCGTATATATAGCGGAGCCGTGGACGCGTTCTGGGAAGTTGTCCTGCCGCAGCGGTCGCGATACGCGAGAAGAAAAATATAAGACAAGACCGGGTGTCCTTGGCGGCGGTCTCTCGAACGCGCCGACCCTCTGTGTGGATCCGTTAGCTTCCTGGGACCGTATAGGACCGGATTCGCGGGCGTCAGATGCGGAGCTCTTCCTTTATATTCTTGCTTATGCATGTATGTGTGTGTGTGTGCCTGTTTTATCGGGACGGTTCGGTTGCCCGTGACGGGACTTACAAAACGAGGGAGGCGCTGATGGACTATGGCTTTTGTTCGTGTGTATATGGTCTCGTAGCCAGCAGACATCGCCGCGCGCGCCGTGTAATATTCGTGACGATAATTCACCGGCGTTGGGTGCCTGGAAGTGTCGTCGCGGAATGGGCTTATTGATTCACAAATCAGGATTATTCTCGCGGACGCAATAACGACCGATACCAAGAGGTTCGTCTGCTTGCGCTAGTGGACCCCTGTACCGAGCTGCCGGTATCGACGAGCCTGCGAGCCTGTGTATGTCGTAAAGCAAGAGGGGTGTCAAACGGCTCTCGATAAGATCTCGGTTTTCAAGGCGCGAACGTGACTAGAAATATGTCCGAATAATGTCTTGTTTCTCTTTATACCATCAGCGGCAATGGCGCCGACGCACGAGGCGCACGTGCCTCGTACAGCCTTTGAGAGGGATGTCAAGAACAAGATGCGTTGTTCTCTTTTACAAAACTCGTTTGTGATGCGTGTTTCAGATGTCTGCACATCGTAAGTTTCATCCAGATACTTTAACAGTTCCAAGTGGCCGGTGGTTTAATTAAATTTTTCCCGTGCAGCGGACATAATGTTCAAGAGTGAAAAAGTGCCGGGACTATGCGAGGCACCAATACCATAATAGCTTTGACAGTACGATCGCTTTTAAAACATTATGCGTCGCACGGTGGCTTTGCTTGCTTCCCAAACAACGACAATAAGAGAAATGTAATGAAACAAAATACGTGCTTTTCGGGGAAAAAAACAAATTGCTGTTTATTGTTGCTCACGAGCGAAAACTTCATTTACCAAATACTTAAATGGGCGTCGAAAACATGTTTGACCGGCTTGCTCAAAATTAAAGGGGCGATGCAACAATTTGTGTACTTTGCAACAATTCCGCTTAGAACGAACCCCTGACGTTAATGACCTATGAAACACGCGTTCGTTTTTCACCCCACGCAATAGAAGTCCCAGAAAAAAATTAAAAAAAAACGAGAAGCGTTTACCCCTTCAACTCGCAGCCAGAACAAGCGGCCACGTGATCTGGAGCTGATTATATGCCGCCTATTCGATCATAGCCACGCGCTGTGGTTGGCAAAGCACAGGACACGCGCTGAGTTCCAGACATTGTTATGGCTCGGCTATTGTCGTCGTTGCAGCGATTGGACACGGGCCACTGCCCGAACCCTTCTCGAGCTAGTAATTATTACGAGCCCAAATCGAGTGCCCACGAAATGCTCGGGTCCAATCTATGAACCGCATTCAAATATCGTAATTGGGGTGTACTGCGATCCCCACGTTACGTCATCAAATTTTGCAAAGAGACTGAAGGAAAATTATCGCTTCTGTCCTTGAAATTACACCGCAACAAAGGTGTTTCTTGGCCAGTGGCGTTGCGTGCGAGTATCCTTGAGTCCCACTTGTGCCAGTAAGCTCGTGTAAAGTGAAAAACATTCCAATTGAATATCGTTGCACCGATCCTTTAAGCACTAGTGAAAGAGCCGAAACATTACGGCACGGTCGTGAGAATTTTCAGAACTTTCGGTAGCCACTTCCTATAAGCTGCTATCTGATTTGACCCCTGTACTAGACACTAAAGCAGGGTCACATTGCTTATACATCATAAAAAAGGCAGTCTGCATACAGATTCGAATGCGGGTCACCGCAAGATCCGTGCTTCGAATGCCGCATGGCAATGAGGTCAAGGAGAAACTTGGCACGCGGCATTCGAATCACGGATATCGCGGCGACTCGTGTTTACAGACTGTCTTTTATGCATGAGCAGTGTGACCCCGCTAAGAAAGTAATTGGAAGCAGGGGCGTAGCTAAGGGAAGAGAAAGCGGGAACTTCTGCCCCCCCCCCCCCCCCCCCCCCCCCCCCCCCCCCCGGCAAAACAAAATCATGCTGCATTTTGTGTTTAGAAGTTCAGGAATATTTCGCGTCGTCCGTAATTTGTCCTAAGGGGCCAGCTAGCTTTGTTGAGAGCACTTCTTAGTGCTCTCAACAACGACGTACTGTAGAGAAGCTACGGTCGAGGAGTCAATATTGCGAATTCGTGATCTTGTGGGCTCGTCTCGACTCCGACTAAGCCCCCACTTTGTCCCCACCGCTTTTATACGGTAGTTGCGCGCGCGCCCATACCGCCACTCCTCCAATGGTCAGTCTGGGTCCAGAGTGCGGGAGATTATCGAGGGAGCTTTGGCAGGGTTCAGGAGGGTGGGGTCCCAGCGCGTCCACAGGCTTTTATTCACAAAAAGCAAGCTTTTTTTGTGACTCTTTGTTAGATTGGAATAGGTACTGATCCTTTTGTTAAATTTTGGGGGAGATTGTAGAGTTGTCTTTGTGAATCGGCATGAAGGCCGTCCATAGCGCTACTTTGTGTATTGGAGGGTTTGGCGTTTGGACTGTTTAGAGGTTGTCCCTTTGTGTTGGCAGTGACTGATTGGAGGGTTTGGCGTTTGAACTGGTTAGAGTTGCCCCTTTGTGTTGGTGGTGGCTGATTGTGGGCTATATTGCCGCGCGCGCCGCTGGCCAAGTACGCAGCGCGCGCGTGGCCTAAGGGTTATCGCGCTTGCCTTACACGCAGAAGGCCAGGGTTCGATTCCTGGCCGCGGCTACACATTTTTTTTTACACTGGCACGCACCTGGTTTGAGAACCACGAAGCGTCCATTGCGTCGTGGGAAGAATTCTAGGCCGAGCTGCGACGGACCTTTGCCAACCAGCACCGACGGCAGCGTGCCGAAGAACTCCTGCGAGCGAGAACCCAAGGGCCGACCGAGAGCGTCACAAGCTTCGTCGAAGACGTTCTCCACCTCATGAATCGCGCCGACCCAACCGCTCCCGAAGAGAAAAAGCTGCGGGTCTTGATGCGCGGTGTGAAGGAAAACATCTTCGGTGGCCTTGTGCGGAGGCCGCCTACCACCGTCGAAGCTTTCGTCGCCGAAGCAACCAACATCGAGCGCGCGCTTCAGGCACGTGCTTCCCACTACCAGCGACATCCAGGCGTCGCTGCACCCACACTGCTTAACGGCGAAAACACTCCGGGTACACCGGACATCCGGGAAATTATCCGAGAGGTTGTCCGGGAGGAACTGCGAAGGTTGCTGCCAACTACCAGCCGTCCGCCAACCCTTTCCATCGCCGAGGCTGTCCGAGAAGAAGTGCATCGGGCGCTCCAACCAGAGGTTCCCGTCACCGCGGTGGCACCGGAGGAACCGACGTTCAGCTACGCCGCGATGGCCCGACGACCGCCGCAAGCTCCCCGCCAAGCCACGTCGCCACCCCGAAGAGACGCCCCAACGCCGCAGTACCCCCGACGACAGGAAGATCAGGCGCACGTTCACCCAGAGCAAGCTGCGCCGAGGAAGACAGACGTCTGGAGGACGGCCGACCGACGCCCGCTGTGTTACCACTGCGGGGAAGCTGACCATGTGTACCGCCGATGCCCATACCGACGACTCGGGCTGCGCGGATTCCACCCAAACGACCCGCGCCCCCGGAATGGTGAACGCCCTCGGGAGATCGACGAGTACCTGCGACGACCTCAGTCCCCCGAACCTGCGTCCAGCCGAGAGTTCCGGTCGCCTTCGCCACGACGTCCAGCTTCGCCGATGCACCGACCCCGACGCGAAAGCCTGTCGCCCCTCGCTCCACGCCGGGGAAACTAGGCGCGGCAACCCCTGGAGGTGGAGTTGCCGAAGACGACCGACGTAAAGAGCCTCCAAAAACGACGGAGCGCTCCCACTCTCCCGACGCTGCGCATCACAACGACGCTCCTGCATCGGTGTCCAACAACCTTAACGTTGTTATCGACGGCCTCGACGCATCGGCACTCATGAACACCGGAGCAGACTACTCAGTCTTGAGTGGGAGGCTCTCCCGCCGCCTTCGAAAAGTCATGACGCCGTGGGATGGACCACAAATAAGAACCGCCGGAGGACACCTCATTACACCAGTTGGGAGACGCACTGCTCGCGTCGAGATACATGGTGAGACGTGCCCTGTCAAGTTCGTCGTTCTGCAAGACTGTTCGAGGGACGTTATTCTCGGAATGGACTTTCTCTGCGAGTATGGCGCCGTCATCGACCTCGGAGCAAACCGGCTAACTCTACGAAAACCTGTTTCACCACCGGAGGAACCCGAAGCGACGTCAACCGCGGTCCGAGTCCTCACAAGTCACGTGAACTTACCGCCGCGGTCGAGTGTCTTCGTACCCGTCGGGATCACCGAAGCTTTCTGCGGCGAAGTTCTGCTTGAAGGAAGCCTCCAGTTGCTTCTAGGAAGAGGAATAGGCGTCGCAAGAGGGGTAGCTGAACTTCAGGATGGCCGCACTGTGGTCCTCATGACGAACTTCCGAAACGAAGTGCAACGCCTCACGAAAGGTGCAGCCGATGGCCACGTCGAGGAACTCCGAAACTCCGCCGAAATCGCCGCCATTACTGACGAATCCTCGCCACCTCAGCAAGACAATACGTCGCCAGCACAGCTAGACATTGACCCTAAGCTTCCGGGCTCGAAACGACGTCAGCTGATTGACCTCCTCGCCGAATACCGCGACTGCTTTGCCACGTCGTCGAAAGTACGCCAAACCGCCGTTGCGAAGCACCGCATCATTACCGAGGACGACGCGCGCCCTGTGCATCGATCTCCATACAGAGTCTCCGTGAAAGAAAGGCAGGTGATCCAGGAGCAAGTTCAAGAGATGCTGAACAACGACATAATTCAACCTTCAAGTAGTCCTTGGGCCTCTCCAGTAGTAC